TTACTCCATACACGGCACACTAGCGCCCCCCGCCCTTCCACAAATTTAACATAAAGAATAAAAACATTATAAATAACCATGGCTACACACAGCTGATAAAGTATTAATTGTAAGCGGAAAATGTGTTTTATAATTTTTACTAAGTTAAAGTCTTTTTAATCATGTTAAAATCTATAACTATAAATCTAAAAGTCTGCTAAATGAAACCAAATAATTATCTCCCTATATTTTTTCATACACTATGATTATTGCAGCTTTTCAGTAATGAATATATGTCAAAGAGGACATATATGGGTGTAGTAAGTAAGCCATGCGCAGAGTCAGATAATCCTTTTTACCAAGGTTTATTCAGGAACCAAAACACAAAACAAACCGAGTACGGCGAAAAAACACTAAACTGTTGTAACGAAATCAAAATGCGCATATAGCGACTTAACGATAACTACCAAACAAACCCTTATACCCCCACTAATGAATTAACACAGAACAGCTGTGACAGAACGTAAACAATCAGAATCAGAAAAGTGGTTATTCGCCATGAATGGATGAACATACAAGGAATTTACTTCGGCAGGAAGGTGCTTACATAAAACATATATATAACATATATATATATATATATAGAATATAACAATATAAATTATACTAAGAGGGTGAGGAAGGTGCTGCGGGAGTATGGGGTGAGGGGGTCTCTTCTCAGGGCCATCCAATCTCTGTATGCTCAAAGCATGAGTTGTGTCCGTGTTCTCGGCAGTAAGTCGTATTCGTTCCCGGTGGGGGTTGGCCTCCGGCAGGGCTGCGCTTTGTCACCAATCCTGTTTGTGATATTTATGGACAGGATATCATGGCGTAGTCATGGTGGGGAGGGGTTTCCGTTCGGTGGGCTTAGGGTTACATCACTGCTTTTTACGGATTATGTAGTCCTGATTGCTTCATCGGTCGGTGACCTGCAGCACTCACTGGATCGGTTCGCAGAGTGTGAAGCGGCTGGGATGAAAGTTAGCACCTTTAAATCTGAGGCCACGACTCTCAGTAGGAAACCGGTGGAATGCCTACTCCGGGTAGGGAGTGAGTCCTTACCCCAAGTGAAGGAGTTTAAGTACTTCGGGGTCTTGTTCGCGAGAGAGGGGACAATGGAGCGTGAGATTGGCCGGAGAATCAGGGAGCAGCGGGGGCGGAGTTGCATTCGCTTTACCGCACCGTTGTGATGAAAATGGAGCTGAGCCGGAAGGCAAAGCTCTCGATCTACTGGCCAATCTTTGTTCCTACTCTCACCTATGGTCATGAAGGGTGGGTCATGACCGAAAAAACGAGATCGTGGGTACAAGCCGCCGAAATGGGTTTTCTCAGAAAGGTGGCTGGCCTCTCCCTTAGGGATAGGGTGAGAAGCTCAGTCATCCGAGAGGAACTCGGAGTAGAGCCGCTGCTTCTTCGCGTAGAAAGGTGCCAGTTGAGGTGGTTCGGGCATCTAGTAAGAATGCCACCTGGGCGCCTCCCTAGAGAGGTGTTCCAGGCACGTCCAGCTGGGAGGTGACCTCGGGGAAGACCCAGGACTATGTGGAGAGATTATATCTCCACACTGGCCTGGGAACGCCTCGGGATTCCCCAGTCGGAGCTGGCTAATGTTGCCAGGAAAAGGGAAGTTTGGGGTCCCCTGCTAGAGCGCCTACCCCCGCGACCCGACCCCGGATAAGCGGTTGAAGATGAGATGAGATAAGAGGGTGAGGGGTATAGCGGTAGTAATATGCAAAATAATATACAGAATACAGATAGGTGTTGTAGTGCAATAGTGCAAATATTTTATATATTGTGGTGTAAAATCAGGCAATGTGCAAATGGAATGGGTAAGAGTTCTAGGCTTGTGTGCACCCCTGGCCTTGTTGAGCAGGCAAGTTGCAGAGGAGAAGAAACTGTTCTTGTGGTGTGAGGTTTTGGTCCTGATGGACCGAAGCCTTCTGCCGGAGGGGAGTGTGTTGAACAGAGAGTGTCCGGGGTGAGAGGGGTCAGCCACAATCTTTCTAGCTCGCCTCAGAGCCCTCGAGGTGTGCAAGTCCTCAAGGCTAGGCAGATTGCAGCCAAACCTTTTCTGCTGAGCAGATGATACGCTGCAGTCTGCTCTTGTCCTTAGCTGTAGTAGCAGTGTAGCAGATGGTGATGGATGAGGTGAGGATGGACTCAATGATGGCTGAGTAGAAGTGAACCATCATAGTCTTGGGCAGGTTGAAGTCTTCAGCTGCCGTAGGAAGAACATCCTCTGTTGAGCTTTTTTGGTCAGTGAGCAGATGTTTAAGTACCACTTGAGGTCCTGAGAAAAGATAGTACCCGGGAAGCGGAAGGACTCTACCGTGTTGACAGGAGAGCCACACAGGGTGAAGGGGGAGAGTGGGCTGAGTTCCTCCTGAAGTCCACAACCATCTCCACTGTCTTTAGAGCATTAAGCTCTAAGTTGTTCTGGCTACACCAAGTCACCAGTTTGTCAGCTTCCAGCCTGTAGTCGGACTCGTCCCTACCGGAGATGAGCCCAATAAGGATGGAGTCGTCCGCAAACTTCAGGATCTTGACAGATGGATGACTCAAGGTGCAGCTGTTGGTGTACAGGGAGAAGAGCAGAGGAGAAAGGACGCAGCCCTGGGGGGATCCGGTGGATCACAGACTTCCTGTCGACAGGAAGTCTGTGATCCACCTGCAGGTGGAGTCCGGTACGTTGAGCTGGGAGAGCTTGTCGTGTAGAAAGACAGGGATGATGGTGTTGAAGGCGGAGCTGAAGTCCCCAAACAGGATCCTCGCATATGTTGCAGGGGAGTCCAGGTGCTGGAGAGTGAAGTCGTCCACAGACTGTTTGGCTCTGTAGGCAAACTGCAGGGGGTCAGAGGTCAGCGTGACGGGTCTGTAGTCTTTAAGTCCTGTTGGCCTTGGCTTTTTGGGCACTGGGATGATGATGGAGGCCTTAAGACAGGCTGGTACGTGGAATGTCTCCAGGGAGGTGTTGAAGATGGCGGTGAACACGGGAGACAGCTGGTCAGCGCAGTGCTTAAGTGTGGCTGGAGAGATAGAGTCCGGTCCAGCTGATTTGCGGGGGTTCTGCCTCTTGTAGAGCCTGTTTACATCTCTCTCTTGAATGGAGAGACGCCTCTGTGGTGGGGGTAAGGGGTAGAGGGGGGAGGGGAGTTCAGGGCCATCCGCAAGGGCGAAATAGTCAGTCACACATTGGGGGGGACAGCATTGGGACTTTCTGTGTTGGGGCATGCAAACATTTTTTTAATCAAAAGAAAAGAAAAGTCAGAGTTCGAATGTTTGCGAAATGCTGCTAGCCTGTAATATAGGTAGTACTGCAGGGGCGGACTGGCCATTTGTGTGATCTGGAGAATCACAGAACGGCCAGTATTCCATCACAGGCAGTCATCCCCTGTTACCTCCCCCACTAATCTGTTTGGAGTAGTGGTTTGGGGGCTCGGCTGCAGATCCGTAGGGCGCTGGTTCGGTTCCCCCAACCACATTCCAAAATATATCTTTAGAAATCGTTTTTAAACTTTTATTTTCTGAATTCTATTTCTAAAGATATATTTTGGAATGTGGGGCGGGCCTAGTCAAAGTCCAGGGCCGTTTTTTAGTCCCATTCCAACCCTGGGTAGTAGGTATCAGCTGGCTTGTCAAAAGTGCCATTCATAAAAGCTGTATAGTATTACAATCGAAGTTTGCACTAATTCTACAATTTCAAATTCTAGTGAAATGCAGGTGCATAGTCCTAATCTAAGGGATTATGTTCACCAAATACTGAATATTTACCATCCATGTGGCCAAATGTCTGTCTCATTCCGCACTCACAAGAGCACAAAGGTATAGGGAAAACATGACATGGATTTCGTTAATGTAGCTATAGTGTAAGGCAGGGGTGCTCACGTTTTTCAGCATGCGAGCTACTTATAAAATGACCAATTCAAAATGATCTACCTACTACAAAAACGCAAAACGTAGATTTATCTATTAAGAATTATTTTTACAATGTATGTGGATGTACATTGCATACCCGCATGAGCCCATATTACACAAGACAACACAACTAATGTGTACTTTTTTGTCATTACCTGACTACTCTGACTTGCACTGAATGGAATCAGCCAGGGATGCATAGTCTGGACAGTAGTTGCTGACAGCCAGCCTAAAGCACACTAACAAATGATCAGCAGTCATGGTGGTACTTTGACTTTATGATTTTCATGTGTGAAAAGGCCGACTCACATAAATAAGTGGAGAGTTGTGATCAAAGATAATATCTCTGCCTTGCTTTGTTTACCATCTTTCCGTCTTGGAAGGACTTCTTGTTATTAACGATGATTATAAGTCATTGGACAACAAAGCTATTAAGATATGCAAGTAAAAAATGTATATTAAAAGACTAGCTAAAAGTGGTTTGAGGTTGATAGGTCATTGCACAAAAAAAGCTATTGAGTTTTACAGGTTTTAAATGTTAATTAAACATTTGTTTCACTATTTCCTTAAAAAACTGAGGCAGTGCAACATGTGGGTGTCCTCTATAAACAATATGAAAGTGATTTGAAGTTTCAAGGCCAAATGGTTAAACAACTATTGAATTAATAACGGTGAGACTTGTACTTTATTGACGGTCCCTAACTATAAGCTGTCTGAGGTTTCTGTTGGCCGGGGTGTAGTGTGGCTGCTTGCGGGAATACCGGACCTGATCGCGGGCTTCGAATATCCGTTGAATATTGAATATCCAACCAACTTTACCTCGGTTTCTTAAGTTTAAGATACAAAACCAAGGGCTATTGGAAGTAACTCCCTAGCTATTTTGTTAGTTTTGCTGCGCTTAGCAACGTTGTTTGCGCATGCACAGTGACCTAAGTGTCAGAGAAAGTCAGATGACATAACCACAGTACCTTCGAGATCGACTGGTAGATGCCGATCGACGTGTCGAGCACCCCTGGTGTATGGCAAGTCAAATGGATTTGGGAAATGGAAGAAAATACTCCTTTAAACAAGCTGTGATGGCCAAGTGGTTAAGGCATTGGATTTGAAATCCGATAGGGTTTCCCCGTGCAGTGTCAAACCCTGCTCTCAGCGAATTGCATTCTTTACCGTGATTTTAACATCTGGAGTAACTTGCATGGTCAATAAAGACAATCTGGAAGACAAGATTGTTTTTTTAACGAAGAAAAGCGATTTTGTAACAAGCTGTGTGATGGCAGATTGGTTAAGGCTTTGGGCCTGAAATCCCGCGCAGGTTCAAACCCTGCTCTCAGCAAATTTTTAACTCGACCGCAATTTTAACATCTGGATTAACTTGCATGTTCAATACAGACTATCTGGACGATACCTAGTCTCTTTGTAAAAGAAGATTGTTCTTTCTAACGGAGAAAAGACTCCTTTAAACATGCTGTGATGGCCGAGTGGTTAAGGCGTTGGACTCGAAATCCAGTGGGCTTTCCCCGCGCAGGTTTGAACCCTGCTCACAGCGATTTTTCATCTTGTCCGGAATTTAAACATCTGGATTAATTTTCATGGTCAATACAGACTATCTGGACGATACCCTGTCTCTCTGGGGTTTCCCCGCGCAAGTTCGAACCATGCTCTCAGCGATTTTTTATCTTGTCCGCAATCTGGATGATGCCTAGTCTGTTTGTAAAACAAGATTTTTTTTTTTACGAAGAAAATACTCCTTTAAACATGCTGGGATGGCCGAGTGGTTAAGGCGTTGGGCTCAAAATCCAATGGGGTTTCCCCGCGCAGGTTCGAACCTTGCTCTCAGCGAAGTACTATCTTGACCGCAATTTTTACATCTGGATTAACTTGCATGGTCAATACAGACAATCTGGATGATGCCTAGTCTGTAAAACAAGATTTTATTTTTTAACGAAGAAAATAATCCTCTTAACAAGCTGTGATGGCCGAGTGGTTAAGGCGTTGGATTTGAAATCCAATGGGGTTTCCCCGCGCAGGTTCGAACCCTGCTCTCAGCGTATTGTTATCTTGACCGCAATTTAAACATCTGAATTTTGCATTGTCAATACAGACAATCTGCATGATGCCTAGTCAGTTTGTAAAACAAGATTTTTTTTAACGAAGAAAATACTCCTTTAAACAAGCTGTGATGGCCGAGTGGTTAAGGCGTTGGACTCGAAATCCAATGGGGTTTCCCCACGCAGGTTCGAACCCTGCTCTCAGCGAATTTTTATCTTGTCTGCAATTTAAACATCTGGATTAATTTGCATGGTCAATACAGACAATCTGGATGATGCCTAGTCTGTTTGTAAAACAAGATTTTTTTTATGAAGGAAATACTCCTTTAAACAAGCTGTGATGGCCGAGTGGTTAAGGCTTTGGATTTGAAATCCAATGGGGTTTCTCTGCGCAGGTTAGAACCCTGCTCTCAGCGAATTTTTATCTTGTCCGCAATTTAAACATCTGGATTAATTTGCATGGTCAATACAGACTATCTGGACGATTCCCTGTCTCTTTGGGGTTTCCCTGCGCAGGTTCGAACCCTGCTCTCAGCGAATTTTTATGTTGTCCGCAATTTAAACATCTGGATTTTGCATGGTCAATACAGACAATCTGGATGATGCCTAGTCTGTTTGTTAAACAAGATTTTTTTTTAACGAAGAAAATACTCCTTTAAACAAGCTGTGATGGCTGATTGGTTAAGGCGTTGGATTTGATATCCAATGGGGTTTCCCCGCGCAGGTTCGAACCCTGCTCTCAGCGTATTGTTATCTTGTCTGCAATTTAAACATCTGGATTAATTTGCATGGTCAATACAGACAATCTGGATCATGCCTAGTCTGTTTGTAAAACAAGATTTTTTTTATGAAGGAAATACTCCTTTAAACAAGCTGTGATGGCCGAGTGGTTAAGGCCTTGGATTTGAAATCCAATGGGGTTTCTCCGCGCAGGTTAGAACCCTGCTCTCAGCAAATTATTATTTTGTCCACAATCTGGATGATGCCTAGTCTGTTTGTTAAACAAGATTTTTTTTTATGAAGAAAATACTCCGGTAAACAAGCTGTGATGGCCGAGTGGTTAAGGCGTTGGATTTGAAATCCAATAGGGTTTCCCCGCGCGGGTTCGAACCCTGCTCTCAGCGAGTTTTTATCTTGTCCGCAGTCTGGATGATGCCTAGTCTGTTTGTAAAACAAGATTTTTTTTACGAAGAAAATACTCCGGTAAACAAGCTGTGATGGCCGAGTGGTTAAGGCGTTGGATTTGAAATCCAATGGGGTTTCCCCGCGCAGGTTCGAACCCTGCTCTCAGCGTATTGTTATCTTGACCGCAATTTAAACATCTGAATTTTGCATTGTCAATACAGACAATCTGCATGATGCCTAGTCAGTTTGTAAAACAAGATTTTTTTTAACGAAGAAAATACTCCTTTAAACAAGCTGTGATGGCCGAGTGGTTAAGGCTTTGGATTTGAAATCCAATGGGGTTTCTCTGCGCAGGTTCGAACCCTGCTCTCAGCGAATTTTTATCTTGTCTGCAATTTAAACATCTGGATTAATTTGCATGGTCAATACAGACAATCTGGATCATGCCTAGTCTGTTTGTAAAACAAGATTTTTTTTATGAAGGAAATACTCCTTTAAACAAGCTGTGATGGCCGAGTGGTTAAGGCTTTGGATTTGAAATCCAATGGGGTTTCTCTGCGCAGGTTAGAACCCTGCTCTCAGCGAATTTTTATCTTGTCCGCAATTTAAACATCTGGATTAATTTGCATGGTCAATACAGACTATCTGGACGATTCCCTGTCTCTTTGGGGTTTCCCTGCGCAGGTTCGAACCCTGCTCTCAGCGAATTTTTATGTTGTCCGCAATTTAAACATCTGGATTTTGCATGGTCAATACAGACAATCTGGATGATGCCTAGTCTGTTTGTTAAACAAGATTTTTTTTTAACGAAGAAAATACTCCTTTAAACAAGCTGTGATGGCTGATTGGTTAAGGCGTTGGATTTGATATCCAATGGGGTTTCCCCGCGCAGGTTCGAACCCTGCTCTCAGCGTATTGTTATCTTGTCTGCAATTTAAACATCTGGATTAATTTGCATGGTCAATACAGACAATCTGGATCATGCCTAGTCTGTTTGTAAAACAAGATTTTTTTTATGAAGGAAATACTCCTTTAAACAAGCTGTGATGGCCGAGTGGTTAAGGCCTTGGATTTGAAATCCAATGGGGTTTCTCCGCGCAGGTTAGAACCCTGCTCTCAGCGAATTTTTATCTTGTCCGCAATTTAAACATCTGGATTAATTTGCATGGTCAATACAGACTATCTGGACGATTCCCTGTCTCTTTGGGGTTTCCCCGCGCAGGTTCGAACCCTGCTCTCAGCGAATTTTTATGTTGTCCGCAATTTAAACATCTGGATTTTGCATGGTCAATACAGACAATCTGGATGATGCCTAGTCTGTTTGTTAAACAAGATTTTTTTTTAACGAAGAAAATACTCCTTTAAACAAGCTGTGATGGCCGAGTGGTTAAGGCGTTGGATTTGAAATCCAATGGGGTTTCCCCGCGCAGGTTCGAACCCTGCTCTCAGCGTATTGTTATCTTGACCGCAATTTAGACATCTGGATTTTGCATGGTCAATACAGACAATCTGGATGATGCCTAGTCTGTTTGTAAAACAAGATTTTTTTTAAGAAGAAAATACTCCTTTAGACAAGCTGTGATGGCCGAGTGGTTAAGGCGTTGGATTTGAAATCCAATGGGGTTTCCCCACGCAGGTTCGAACCCTGCTCTCAGCGTATTGTTATCTTGACAGCAATTTAAACATCTGGATTTTGCATGGTCAATACAGACAATCTGGATGATGCCTAGTCTGTTTGTTAAACAAGATTTTTTTTTAACGAAGAAAATACTCCTTTAAATAAGCTGTGATGGCTGATTGGTTAAGGCGTTGGATTTGAAATCCAATGGGGTTTCACCGCGCAGGTTGGAACCCTGCTCTCAGCGAATTTTTAGCTTATGATATCCAATGGGGTTTCCTCGCGCAGGTTCGAACCCTGCTCTCAGCAAATTATTATTTTGTCCACAATCTGGATGATGCCTAGTCTGTTTGTTAAACAAGATTTTTTTTTATGAAGAAAATACTCCGGTAAACAAGCTGTGATGGCCGAGTGGTTAAGGCGTTGGATTTGAAATCCAATAGGGTTTCCCCGCGCGGGTTCGAACCCTGCTCTCAGCGAGTTTTTATCTTGTCCGCAGTCTGGATGATGCCTAGTCTGTTTGTAAAACAAGATTTTTTTTTACGAAGAAAATACTCCTTTAAACAAGCTGTGATGGCCGAGTGGTTAAGGCTTTGGATTTGAAATCCAATGGGGTTTCTCCGCGCAGGTTAGAACCCTGCTCTCAGCGAATTTTTATCTTGTCCGCAACTTAAACATCTGGATTAATTTGCACGGTCAATACAGACAATCTGGATGATGCCTAGTCTGTTTGTAAAACAAGATTTTTTTGTGAAGAAAATACTCATTTAAATAAGCTGTGATGGCTGTTTGGTTAAGGCGTTGGATTTGAAATCCAATGGGGTTTCCCCGCGCAGGTTCGAACCCTGCTCTCAGCGTATTGTTATCTTGACCGCAATTTAGACATTTGGATTTTGCATGGTCAATACAGACAATCTGGATGATGCCTAGTCTGCCTAGTCTGTTTGCATGGTCAATACAGACAATCTGAATGATGCCTAGTCTGTTTGTAATACAAGATTTTTTTTAAGAAGAAAATCCTCCTTTAAACAAGCTGTGATGGCCGAGTGGTTAAGGCGTTGGATTTGAAATCCAATGAGGTTTCCCCGCGCAGGTTCGAACCCTGCTCTCAGCGAATTTTTATCTTGTCCGCAGTCTGGATGATGCCTAGTCTGTTTGTTAAACAAGATTTTTTTTAACGAAGAAAATACTCCTTTAAACAAGCTGTGATGGCCGAGTGGTTAAGGCTTTGAAATCCAATGGGGTTTCGGCGCGCAGGTTAGAACACAGCTCTCAGCGAATTTTTATCTTGTCCGCAATTTAAACATCTGGATTAATTTGCATGGTCAATACAGACTATCTGGACGATTCCCTGTCTCTTTGGGGTTTCCCCGCGCAGATTTGAACCCTGCTCTCAGCGAACAAGATTTTTTTTTATGAAGAAAATACACCTTTAAACAAGCTGTGATGGCCGAGTGGTTAAGGCGTTGGATTTGAAATCCAATGGGTTTTCCCCGCGCAGGTTTGAACCCTGCTATCAGCGAATTTTTATCTGGTCTGCAATCTCGATAATGCCTTGTCTGTTTGTAAAACAATATTTTTTCATTCACAAAGAAAATACTCCTTGAAACATGCTGTGATGGCCGAGTGGTTAAGGCGTTGGATTTGAAATCCAATGGGGTTTCCCCGCGCAGGTTAGAACCCTGCTCTCAGCGAATTTTTATCTTGTCCGCAATTTAAACATCTGGATTAATTTGCATGGTCAATACAGACTATCTGGACGATTCCCTGTCTCTTTGGGGTTTCCCCGCGCAGGTTAGAACCCTGCTCTCAGCGAATTGTTATCTTGACTGCAATTTTAACATCTGGATTTTGCATGGTCAATACAGACAATCTGGATGATGCCTAGTCTGTTTGTTAAACAAGATTTTTTTTTAACGAAGAAAATACTCCTTTAAACAAGCTGTGATGGCTGATTGGTTAAGGCGTTGGATTTGAAATCCAATGGGGTTTCCCCGCGCAGGTTCGAACCCTGCTCTCAGCGTATTGTTATCTTGACCGCAATTTAGACATCTGGATTTTGCATGGTCAATACAGACAATCTGGATGATGCCTAGTCTGCCTAGTCTGTTTGCATGGTCAATACAGACAATCTGGATGATGCCTAGTCTGTTTGTTAAACAAGATTTTTTTTTAACGAAGAAAATACTCCTTTAAATAAGCTGTGATGGCTGATTGGTTAAAGGTGTATTTTCTTCATAAAAAAAAATCTTGTTCGCTGAGAGCAGGGTTCAAACCTGCGCGGGGAAACCCCAAAGAGACAGGGAATCGTCCAGATAGTCTGTATTGACCATGCAAATTAATCCAATGGGTTTTCCCCGCGCAGGTTTGAACCCTGCTATCAGCGAATTTTTATCTGGTCTGCAATCTCGATAATGCCTTGTCTGTTTGTAAAACAAGATTTTTTCATTCACAAAGAAAATACTCCTTGAAACATGCTGTGATGGCCGAGTGGTTAAGGCGTTGGATTTGAAATCCAATGGGGTTTCCCCGCGCAGGTTAGAACCCTGCTCTCAGCGAATTTTTATCTTGTCCGCAATTTAAACATCTGGATTAATTTGCATGGTCAATACAGACTATCTGGACGATTCCCTGTCTCTTTGGGGTTTCATCTGGATTAATTTGCATGGTCAGACTATCTGTTAGAACCCTGCTCTCAGCGAATTGTTATCTTGACTGCAATTTTAACATCTGGATTTTGCATGGTCAATACAGACTATCTGGACGATACCCTGTCTCTATGGGGTTTCCCCGCGCAAGTTCGAACCCTGCTCTCAGAGAATTTCAATCTTGACCGCAATCTGGATGATGCCTAGTCTGTTTGTTAAACAAGATTTTTTTTTTACGAAGAAAATACTCCTTTAAACAAGCTTTGATGGCCGAGTGGTTAAGGCGTTGGACTCGAAATCCAATGGGGTTTCCCCGCGCAGGTTCGAACCCTGCTCTCAGCGATTTTTTATTTTGTCCGCAATTTTAAACATCTGGATTAATTTGCATGGTCATACAGACAATCTGGATGATGCCCATACTGTTTGTAAAACAAGATTTTTTTTTACGAAGAAAATACTCCTTTAAACAAGCTGTGATGGCCGAGTGGTTAAGGTGTTGGATTTGAAATCCAATGGGGTTTCCCCGCGCAGGTTAGAACCCAGCTCTCAGCGAATTTTATCTTGTCCGCAGTCTGGATGATGCCTAGTCTGTTTGTAAAACAAGATTTTTTTTTATGAAGAAAATACTGCTTTAAACAAGCTGTGATGGCCGAGTGGTTAAGGCGTTGGATTTGAAATCCAATGGGGTTTCTCCGCGCAGGTTAGAACCCTGCTCTCAGCGAATTTTTATCTTGTCCGCAATTTAAACATCTGGATTAATTTGCATGGTCAATACAGACTATCTGGACGATTCCCTGTCTCTTTGGGGTTTCCCCGCGCAGGTTTGAACCCTGCTCTCAGCGAACAAGATTTTTTTTTATGAAGAAAATACACCTTTAACCAATCAGCCATCACAGCTTATTTAAAGGAGTATTTTCTTCGTAAAAAAAAATCTTGTTTAACAAACAGACTAGGCATCATCCAGATTGTCTGTATTGACCATGCAAAATCCAGATGTTTAAATTGCGGACAACATAAAAATTCGCTGAGAGCAGGGTTCGAACCTGCGCGGGGAAACCCCAAAGAGACAGGGAATCGTCCAGATTGTCTGTATTGACCATGCAAATTAATCCAGATGTTTAAATTGCGGACAAGATAAAAATTCGCTGAGAGCAGGGTTCTAACCTGCGCGGGGAAACCCCATTGGATTTCAAATCCAACGCCTTAACCACTCGGCCATCACAGCATGTTTCAAGGAGTATTTTCTTTGTGAATGAAAAAATCTTGTTTTACAAACAGACAAGGCATTATCGAGATTGCAGACCAGATAAAAATTCGCTGATAGCAGGGTTCAAACCTGCGCGGGGAAAACCCATTGGATTTCAAATCCAACGCCTTAACCCTTGTGCTGCCCTCGCATCGCGTACACACCCCGAGTCGAGCTGGTCAGAATGACCCTCGATCTCTTTTCACAGCCCTCAGAGTGTTGCAAAAAGGAGGAGGCCGAAATACAACAACGTGCACGTGTCTCCCTGTAATCGATTTATTATTTTTATCGTTATTAGTAATTATCTGGGAGGGGTAAAAAAAGACACGTGCCCGGGCGAGGCTCGAACTCGCCACCTCGGCATCTAACCCCGCCGTTGTCCTCGCGTCGCGTACACACCCCGAATTGAGCGGGTCCGAGTGACCCGCGATCCCATTTCACACAGCCCTGGGAGTTTTGCAAAAAGAGGAGGCCGAAATA